ACATCCGGTCATACATGTTTCGCAGCTCAAGCGAAGTCTTGGCGAGGCACAATCGGCGAAGGATAGGCTACCCGCGGTCGCACCGGATGGACAAGTTGTAGTCCGGCCAGGCCGCGCGGTCGAGTACCGACAAATTAAAAGGGCCAGAAAATACTTCTGGGAAGTACTCGTCGAATGGGAAGATTTGCCGAGTGAAGAGGCAACTTGGGAAAGTTCGGACGAGATGTGCGAAAGATTTCCTAATTTCATCCTTGAGGACAAGGAAGCACTTGAAGGGGACGGAAATGATGAGAACACGGCAAGAAGGCTGAAGAATGCGGCGAGCCGCGCTTATCATGCACGGCGGAGGTTAAGCCGCCGGGCTGCCGAGGCCCAACTCGTTAGCGAGCATGCGCGCGCGAGCGGTGACGCGTGCGAGAATTTCGACCAAGGACGCGATAGTGCGAGTACGGCCGAGGGGATTCACGCGCGAGCATACCTAACCACGCAAGGAATATGCGATGCAGATGACGTGGGCGCGGGAGTCCGGCACGCGCACAACGGCGGCTAGGGTTGGGCGACGCAAGTGGATTCAATAGATTAGAATCCTTTTCTTTCCTTAATTCCTAGTATGGTAGGATATCTTATGTTTTATTGCTTTCCTAGTTTAAGTAGATTAGCCTTAGTAGAATAGGATTAGATCTTTATTTTGAGCTTTATAAATAGGCGCAAGCATTGTTACTTAGGATATGATTGATTCTTCTTAATACAAAAAAATCCGAACTTTTGTTCAAACACTTTGCAAAGACTTCTTTGAGTTCAATTGCAATTTTACTTGTTTCGAAGGACTGTGGACGCGGATCTTCGAGACCCTATCTCGATTTAAGGCACTCGCGTGGCTTGTCGAAAGGCCGAACACATGATCTTCATCAGCGGGTCACTACGCAAGCAGGCACGGCGGTGCGCGGCCTAGGAGTCTGTCTGCGCGGTCGTGCGCGGTAGGACGCGGGCGGTGCTGGGGATGCGCGTGCGGCTCCGACAGTGGCTGATAGTTGGAATTACGCCTGTGAACTCCTGTTGCTCCGGTGGTCATCCTCTCCTATTTTGGTGGCCATCGGAGATGCTGCGGGGATGAAATTATCCGACGGGATGAACGTATATATATTCAACGGGATACAAATCAACAACCTTCGAATCTTCTATTTTATAACTTTTATACGATCTCTAATAAATCTTGGTGGAGCGATTTAGTAGATTTCCCAAAGCCTTACGATCTTCTTCTTCTAAGACCTCTCGGCGGTAACCAATTTTTCTCTCGATGAAGAATCTCTCTTTTTCTCTATTATGATGGACCGAAAATTCCAGCCCTTCGGGGAAGAAAAACGTGTGATACTTCAAGAGAGGCTAGGGGACTTAGTGTATTTATAGGCTACAATAGGGACCAAAAAAAGGTGCTAAATATGGGCTTATTCCATCAGGTTTAGGAATCCTTATTATCTTCCATCAGCTTTTCTCATCTAGGATAATATTCATAATATTTAATTACCTTCTAGAAGACTCCATAGTCTCATAACCCTAGGTAATATTCTAGAAGGAATATTCTCATCCTTAGGGAAATATGGAATATAATTAATTCCTACTTCCTAATCTGGAATTAAATAATAAATCATTCCACTAGAGTAATATTATTGCTCTCCCCATTTATCTCTGAATTACAATTAACTCGTCTTCATTGATTAAATATATTAATCTAATTAACCTATTTATCTCCCCATATTTAAGATATAACGTCCGTTGATTAATTAAATTACTGACAAAATAATTAATCAACTTCTTATTCATTTCCGAAACTAGTACCACTCAGATCCTTAATCATTATGTCGGATAACACATCCGCTTGTAGGGCTTGACATAATATTCATTCCTGAGCTCATTTCGGGGACGTCAACAACCCAACGCACAGGGACACAATGATCGTAAATAATTTATAACAACACATCATATAAACACACTTATTTACCAAAATACCGAGTATGTTATCATAGCATAATAGGAATCACCCTTGATAAATCAAATAAATAAGTAATGAATACAGATGCCCATTTTATATTATCTTATAGCTTACGAGTATGCATCAATTACTGAAGGTCTAGATTACAACAACGGTCAGTGAGTCTCATAACTTATCCTTCTGTGGTCTTGTTCAACACCTATCATAAGTGCTAGTGTAATTCTCCAGTCAAAGACCAACTGAATCAAGAATACACTACAGTCTTTGTCCAAGAGGGGTCTCACTGTCTGTCTAAACTGTGAACGAATAGTTTAGTCTTACAAGGAACCGATAGGTGATCTTTCTGTTCGAAACACTTCCAACCACACTATCTCAATGTAAGGCAAGGAGTATGATTGCATAAAATAAACTGCAAGCATATGTACTTTGACCGAAACATGATGGCCAGACCAAAATAGAATTGGTAGAATCTGCAAAACCGAGCTTTTACAACATACCTCTAACAGAGGAACATGATGAATCACCATCTTCCAAGAATCAAGGTAATCTTATCGAGCTAATAAAGCTTATGGGGAAAATGGATGTCAATGTAAAAAATGTTGTTCTAGAAAATGCCCTGGGAAATGCAAAGTATACATCACCGGACATCCAAAAAGATATTTTGCATATTTTTGCTAAGAGAGTGAGGAAAAGCATTCGTGAAGAGATTGGAAGTGCGAAATTTTGTCTCTTAGTTGATGAAGCTAAAGACATATCAAACAAATACCAAATGGCTATTGTGTTAAAGATTTGTTGATCGTGAAGGCTTCTTAAGAAAGCAGTTCTTTGATATAGTGCACGTTGTCGATACCACTACTATGACACTTAAGAACGAAATATCTAATGTTCTTGGTCGATATGATTTGCATATGAAAGATATTCGGGGCCAAGGATATGATGGAGTTAGCAATATGCGTGGATCGTGGAACGGTTTACAAGCTCTTTTCTTGAAGGACACTCCACAAGCATATTATGTATATTGTTTCGCTCACACGCTTCAATTTTCATTAGTGGCAGCGGCTGAAAAAGAGAACTCCATTTGGCTATTTTTTTCAAAGTTAACTTCAATTTGTAAACTCATTAAGACGTCACCAAAACGTCACAATGAGTTACAATTTGCCCAAGCAATTGACATTGAAAATATGATAGCCACTGGTAATCGCGAGGCAGGTAAATTAATCTCACTCTTTCTACTTCTTTTTAATAACATTGAATTGTATCGCACTGAATTTTCAATTGATTTTTTTATTTGTCTTATGTGAAATAGGTACCGGACTTAACCAAAATGGAATTTTGCAGCGAGCTGGAAAGACACGTTGGAGTTCTCATATTGAGTAAATTTGCAGTATGATAGATATGTACCGTTCAGTAATTATCGTGCTCGAGCATATGGCAGAAGAAACAACTTCTAATTCTATACGTGGGGAAGCCACAGGTGCTTTAATTGCGATGAGATCATTTGATTTCGTATTTATTTTATATCTCATGCACAAGATAATGGCGATCACAAATTTGTTTTGTCAATCTTTGCAACAGAAGAATTTGGATAATTTAAATACAATGGATTTTGTGTCAACTACGAAATAATTGCTTTATACTTTGAGAGAAGAAGGCTTTAATACTCTTCTTACATATGTGCTATCATTGTGTGAAGAGAATGATATTGATATACCGGATATGAGTGGTTGTTATCGATCTTCTAGGGGATGTGCATGCCAACAGAAGTTTTCTACTATATTTGAGCATCATTACCACTTTGACGTGTTTAATGCTACGATTAATTTTCAAGTGGAAGAGCTTAATAACAGATTTAATGATGGAGCTATAGAACTTCTTAGACTTAGCTCTGCATTGGAGCCTCGAGACAGTAAGTTGTTTAATGGAGATGATATATATAATCTTGCCGAGAAATTCTATCCCAATGATTTCACTGGACAAGAGTTACACTATTTGAGGAGCCAATTAGAGTATTACAAGTTTGATGTTGTCGAGAACAAAAGGTTCCAAAATATTTCTACCATTTCTGATTTATGTCGACAATTAGTTGAGACAGAGAAGGCACGCCACTATCATTTGATTGACAGATTGATTCGTCTCATTTTGACTTTTCTCGTTTCTACTGCAACAACCGAACGATCTTTCTCAGCAATGAAGCTTCTTAAAACTCCTCTTCGAAATAAGATGGAAGACGAGTTCTTGGCGGACTCAATGGTTATCTACACCGAAAGAGAGTTTAGTACGAAGATCACGCAGATGAGTTCTATAATATGAAGAATAGAAGAGCACATCTTAAATAGGTAACTACTTATTTATGTTGTTTTTTTTTTTCATGAACATGGCTTTTTTTT